TTCTATGTACGAGTTTAGACAAAATTAGAAATGCCAAAATGAAATCCCCATGATTTATTTCAGAAATTTATTTCAAAATTTCTTCAAAACTTAGAAAGTTTAACACCTTTAGCTCGGATTCTAAGGGTGGAAATATATAAAGCGCATATTTGGCTGGCTTAAGTCATCGACTGGCTTCTTCATAGATGAACAAAGGAGTTTTAGGTTGACTTGGCCCTAGGTCGATTTTGGCCCTAGGCTCCTTTGATCATTTCCGAAGAAGCCAGCCAGATAAGCGCTTTATGTATTCCCACCTTTAAGAATAAAATAAGAGCGTGGAAAAACATATCTAATAAGGAATTATTTCTCTTTTTCAATACCTTTCCAGTTTTTAAATCAAATTTAAACATTTAAAAGGATTTACATTTAAATCAAGGAGTTTTTAATATTTGATTTGCAAGTTCTACGTGACAATTTGTGTCGTTTGTTAAAATATCGTAAGTTTTTAAGGCAAAAATCGAAAAATCGGCAAAATGCCGATAAATTGGTAAAGCTGGCAACCCTGTGAGAGTGTTCAATCATTTAGTGGAGAGTAATATGAACAAATTATGTTCTCTTCTCGTTATGAATTCCTTTCTCACTCTCTCGCGGCATATAAGGGAATATAATATACTATATCCACTATATTTATTTAACATTTGGTATAAAAGGTTTTTATTTTAAATAAACCGTTGGTAGTGGCAAGAACAGAGCGAGCGCAAAATTGTAAAAAAAATTAAAAGAAAAAATTATAACACAAGAACAGCAGCTTAACTTGCAAATAAATAAATCATCGGCAACAGAAAATTAGAAAAAAATTCTGAATTCGGTTATAACAAACAACAACTAAACACGTAATGCACTCATAGAGGGGCGTTCGTTGAAAAAAAGAAAAGAATTACACCGAGAGTTAATGGATATTGAAACAACACACAAGCATAACAAAGCTAAATAACAATTGGAAAGAAAAAGATTTCGTAATTTCTTAAAAAAAACCGAAGCAATTTTCAAAGGAAACCTCAAACCAAAAAATTACAAAAAAAAGTGAAAGTGAAAAAAATTACAAGCAACATTAACTAAGGGACGCTTTAAAAAAATAAACGAAAGATTAGACTGACCTCAAAACAGGTGCCTACCAAAAAGAAAAAAAAATCATAAATTTTATAACCAAAAGGCCAAGAAGCTCACAAAAAATACAAGCAAAATGAGTGGATACACAGATATAACCAAATTGGATACACGGTAAGTTGAACAGACAGCAGTCGTAACCAGCAGTAGCAGCAGCAGACAAGGGCGGGGTATTTTTCAATGAAGAGACAAGTGTGAGAGACGTTGGAGGAAAAAATTGAACATTTTCAATGATTATGTCAAAAAGTTGGAAATTGAATATTCCCAAAAAGTTTGATCGAAAAATTAATGAATTTTTTTATATTCCATTTCTATGGCCTTATGAAGATTCAAAATTGGAATGGTTTTATGTGTGTGTGTGTTTAATTTTATTAACGAAAAGTAAATATTGTAAAACCAATAGCCTAACTTACTGCCACACATTCAAGCGCTGTTTAAAAAAGCTAAACACAGTAACCTAGCTTTGGCCCCCTCACCCAGACTGACTGGCATAAGCTAAGCTACTACTACACCTGTCCATTTGACACCAACACACACGCGGACACATGCCAAAGCATTTTCCCCCAAAGACCCCAATAGCATTTATTATGTTGTCCGGCAATTATCATAATTTAAAGTTTAACATAAATGCTCCAAACCTATCTTCTCAATTCGATTTTTTTTTTGTTCAAATTAATGAAGGTACCACCTATGGTTCCCCACACCTACCCAACCCTCCCCTCCCATTCCTATGGCCCACCATGAAATCACCGTCATCTGTTCGATACAAATTTTTTTGTTGTTGCTGTTGTATTCACCACTAGAGAAAATATCGTACGATACGGAGCGGGGCGAAAAGTGTATTGAAAACACATTCACACTGACACGAATCTAGCAAATACACCAAGCAGCTGACGTTGTCGGCAAGTTAACTGGCTTTAGCTCGAAGAGTAGTGGAAGTAGACGTAGCAGTTATGGCTAGCTAAGCATTGATATGACACAATCATCATCATCATCTTTACAATTTGCCACAGAGGAGCGAGGAGCAGGCACTCAATTCTCACACTTGATTGATAATAGCGGACTATTGTTAGATGCCCTCTGATTATGGAATTCATGTAAAGTCTAGGCACTGATTCATATATTCCATTACGACGACAGTCACAACGTCACCACAACTTTCATTGCCCTTTCCTCTAATAACTAAAAGTGAAATGTGGGCATTCCTGTTGGCATTGAGCAATTTTTTCTAGACTTGGGGGGAATAATGTATAGCTAGAACCCACCGTTTGTTTCTTTAAACATTATATATTATTTATTTTTGCCATTTGTCGGCTATTTTCATTTGCAAAATCATCATCAATAAACTCACGCCACCCGCATTTGGTTGTATTAAAATGTTTGCTGAACATGGACGCGATGATGACGACTACAACCACGAGCCGGGGCCGCTTGGTTTGTTGAATGACTGGTAATGATGGTATGGCTGGCGGTACAGTAGAGGCCAAGGGAATATGTGGCTGTATCGAAAGACAAAACCACTTCAACTTGATGAGTTGATGAGTTGTTCTTTTTAGAATCTAGGTAATGTTTATTCTGTGAATTATGATGATGTGCTGATTTGAAATGAATTTATGACATGGAATTTTATCTTCCCATTATACAAATGGTTTTCTAAACGAGAAAAGAATTTCAATCATTTCGGGGATTTTTGTATATAACATAATATTTAAGATTCCTCAACAATAGCACGAGATTCCTTAACGCAAAACTTCGAACTAATAAAAAATTTGAGTTCTTTGGTCTTTGTGAAGGTATTTTCAAAATCCAATGGAATTCAAAAGAATACAAATCTCAGTGGAACATCATTTCCACCTGTAGCTACTATTGATTTTTATAATGCCTCTTATTTTGAATGTAACTTTAAAAGTGTTTTTAAGAAAATTATAAAAAATTAATAAACAAATGTTAATCAAATATACAATTAGAATTAAAACCCACAATCTTCATCCTGGTAGTCTAACCGCAAAATCTGAAGAAAGCAACCTTTTGGGTATGGAGATTAATGCTCTAAATTTGTTTAATCTTGAAAAGCTTGAGTCAAATTCCCAAAATTGTTGTTGATAGTGCAAAGATAAAAAAATCAAAAAGTTAGAGCAAAAATGTTGGCTTTTATATTTTTATTACAGCAGTTTATATTCCTATAAGAGTGATTGTGATTTCCAGAATATTATCAGTCATAAATATGTACCCATGTAGGTCCGTATCTATTTGTTATTGATGTGTCATACTTTACAAGTACTTGTCCTTTTTTTGATTTTGTAAAACCCCACTACAAAATTCCCTATTAACTGATTAGAAATGGGTAAACAATTCTTATTGATTTGGTAATTAGTTAGGTACCACCACCTATTACTCATAAAAATCGATAAGAAATTCACAATTATGTCAATGTCATTATCAGCGAAATGCTAAAACTGCAAAGTTGAGGTGTGAGACTGTCAAAGAAGAGGTGACAATATTTTTTGTTGTTTTCGCTGAAAAAACGCTAAGATATTTTACATTTCAGTGCGTTAAAAACATTGAATTAGTCATATTATTGACGTCGATGACAGTCACATAATAATAATATGCACAAAGACAGATTAAAAAGATAATGCCAATGATCCAATGAACATCCTTCATATTTTAATAGGAAAAATACCCATGCATCATGGTAAATAATATTTGTGCAAAACTATTTGCAAAATATTTACACAAATACCTGCAAAAAAAAAAAAAAAAAAAAATAACTGGCTACTGAAAAATAATAACAAGCAACGACCCCCATGGTGTTGATAATTTTTATTATTTTTTAATTTGATTTAGCCCATAGATTGATTGTCCGTCTGCTGGACATATTTAAATATAAACAACAAATGAAAACGCAATGTTTTGTTTACATTCTCATCACACTCTGCCGCTCCTTTCTTCACACGCTCATTTTTAGCAGGCATTGAAATTGTTCGTTGGGCACCATTATAAATAAACAGAAACAACCTTCATCTCATCTGTTTTTTTACTCTCTTCTACAAAATGGATGGTCGGTGTCTGTTGTGTGAGAGCAAGAGAGTTGGGGTTATAGAAAAGATGTTTGTTATTGTTTATGTTTCACAATCAATTTAAACAAGACAGCACGAAATCATACGATACGTTTACGTTTTGTTGTGGGGATGAGTGAGGAGGATATTGATTCAAAAATTGATTCACAATAGCATGATACGTACGCTGCTTAATTTAAAAAATATACATATACATTTGAGTGTGTAAGCTCTACTGAAATTAAATTGATTTTTCAAAATGAAATATGTGCATACCTGAGAAATGACTCAAAATGTCGTTACTGCAAAAACCACCACTGCTGGTATTGGTTTTAAACAATTCAATGGTTTTCTTTGAATTGCTCAGAACGTATAAAGCCAAAGGTTTTTCTCTATATATGTTTTGTATGGTATATAGTATATGTAAAGTAGGTTGGTTGTTAGTTTTGCAAAAGAAAAATGAAATTAAAAAGAGTCATTAAAAAATTTATAACCTCAAACCCCTTATGAAAACAATTGATTGTTGGATGAGTCGCATGAAAATGTTAGAGCAAAGGTGTTAACAGCTTTTGCACGTTTTGTTAGGAAACTCTTATTCTATTTCACTATTAATAATTGTTTAAATAAAACCATGCATAGAACATTCATTCTTAGGGTTACTCGTTTCATATACCTGAACAGTGCATTATAACATCGTTACTGCAAAATCCACCACTAGTTGTCTTATCTTTAAACAGCTGTACAACTGTGTCCGATTCGGAGAACACATAAATCGCTAAGGGCTTTTCCCTGGTTGAGTGTTAAAAATCATATATAGAACATAAAGTAATGCAGGCATTTAAATGGGAATTTATACAAATATAGATTACAATAGGTGAACAATAGGTGTGTAACAGATATATAGGGGAGGATGTGATTCAAGGCCGCCACCATTACAATTAGCATACAGAAATAGAGAATACCTTCACCACAAAAAATAAACATAAATCAACTACCTATCGAAATTGTAACCAACACCAAATCTATCCTAGAGACAACTCTATTCTACAGGTTCTTGCTGGGTGCAAACTGATTCCTTCGTTTTGTTGGAGGTCTTTGGTTTTATTCTAGTTTCTTACCGGCATAATGCATGATTGTGTCGTTAAGTAACATGCCTCCTGCTCGTGTACTGTGTATGAATAAATTTTGTATTTCTGGTTCCGTTGTGAAGACATACATCGCCAGTGGGCTTTCTCTAATTGTTTTGATGTGTTACATTGTGTAGTTGGTGGACATGACACAAAACCAAACGATGAGAGAGAGGTGTTTGTTTTTTTTTTAAATTTTTATTTTTGGTTGGAGACAATCGACATGTTTGACAAATGAGACAAGAAGACAAAATAATATGAGTGTGACGATGACAAATTGACAACATTATTTTATGACAGCCTTGCTCAAAATATATGTATTAGTAGTTGTAAGAGACTCTCTCGGCCTGTGAAATCAATGGCTAATGATAATCGAGGGAGAATACGTGAGCTTTGTTTATACTTTTTCGTTCTCATAGCTGTTTTATGAATTATTTGTGATTTCTCTTCAATGTTCAAGAAATGTTGTTACTGAAGTATATTTTTTGCATCGCCTAGACGAGCAGAATGAAGACTCCTGGTATTTTGTTATTATCCAAGAAAAAAAGTATTCATGAAAACCATTGGCGCATAACAACTTTTATATGAAATAAGGTTTTTGATTTTTTATTCAAGAAATTTTTCTCGGAGAATCTTAAGCCAAATTGTTTTTAATTTTCCATATAAAAAGTTGTTGTCTTGAAATGTTTTGTTACTTTTCACCTGCTTCAAACTTAATGTAAATTGTAAAAAAAGGTGCAAAAGCCGTCTAAAGTGCAACAAAAACAACGTGGACATTGAATAATGATTTCTTGACTTTCCACATTTAGTAAACGATTAGACGCCAATATTGATGGTTCAAAATGAAAAACTGGAAAATGTGAATGATTAACCATTGAAATTGATGAAATTAAGTGAATTCTATTTCTTTTTTTTTATCAATTTTCGAATATCAAATAAGAGTATTCAAAACGCTTAAACTGTTATAGATTTTTTGAACTAAATCCTCCATATAATTACCCAAATTTAATAAAAAAATAAATCTAAGTCGAATAAAATCACAAAAATCATCTTCTAAGAGACGAGATTTAAATCTGTTTGCCTATATGAAACAAATTTGTGTCCCATCATGGAATAACATTCATATAAACTAAACTATTTCTTACTTTTTTACCTTAAGCCAATAATGACATTCATATCCAATGTTTTTTCTTCCTAAGTTTTGCAAAGGTCTCACCTTGTCGTTTACTTGGAGATAGGTAATAAAATTTCTTCTGATTTATACAACCTTATGCCTTTTCTATAAAGCCCAGAATTTGATAACCTTGTCGTAAAAACGACTCTAGTTCCAATTTCCCAAAAATAGATAAGATTATTTTTTTTTTGTGAAATAAATCCCAATTGATCCTCTATCCTCTTGTTTTGAATACTCTGCAATAAAAACTCTTTGGAAAAACCTCTATCTATACTTCCTATTATCACACAATAGCTGAAAATGACATGGAATTATTTGAAAATGCATTTCATGAATTTGATGGATTTACCCATTTGGTTGTGGAACCATGTTGACCTACCTGGAGTTAATGAATTTGATTGCATCGTAGGCACTTTCAACATTATATATGGGCAAGATTGGACCGAAAATTTCGGATTGCATCACAGGATCTTCTGCTTTAACATCTACAATAATTGTGGGTTCAATATACAGTTCATTGGCGTTATAGCTACCGCCAACGGCAATTTTGCCATGTTTCATGAGACCAAGCAAACGGCTGGAAAGAAAATTTGCAATTAATACTGTATCCCAGCATTATTTTTCTCTTCTGCAACTTACTCAAAATTGGTTTTGTTTATAATACGACTGAGATCAGGACTATCTTTGATATTATCACCATACCATTCCTTAAGGATTTCTTTGGCCTCCTTGATGAATTCTACTTCAATTTCTTTGGAACACAACACGTAATCGGGAGCAATGCAAGTCTGACCACAGTTAATCAATTTGCCCCAGAGAATACGTTTTACGGCTGTCTTTAGCTCAACCGATTTGTCAATATAGCAGGGACTCTTGCCACCCAATTCCAAGGTGCAGGGTGTCAAGTATTTGTTGGCGGCAGCGTGGATGATTTGTCCAACACGCGTGGAACCGGTATAGAAAATGTAATCGAATCTTTGTTTAAGCAGTTCTGTTGTTTCCTGGGGTCCTCCACAGACAATGGGATAACATTCCTTGAAATAGAAAAAAGTAAAAGTAAAGTTGTGGTTGCAACTAAAGCAGGCAGAGGAGACTTACATTATCCAAATACTTTGGCAATGTTTCTTGAATGAATTTGGCACAATTGGCAGCAACTTCACTGGGCTTTATCACAACACAATTACCGGCAGCAATGGCTGAGGCAACGGGCACCAACAACAGCTGCAGGGGATAATTCCAGGCACCAATAACCAAAACTACACCATATGGATCCTTGTAGATCTGTACATCGTCCATGAGATTAACCATCGACTTGGGTGGCAGCTCGGGCTTGACCCAATCATCAATGTTGTACAGAATGTTTTTGACATCATTTTTCAGAAATTCTGTTTCCACAACTAAACTTTCCTGTTTGGGACGTCTCAGATCGGCATCCAAAGCATTAATCATGTCATTTTCATGTTCTTCGTACATGCGCAACAGATTCTCCAATTGCTTCTTTCTGTTGAAATTGAGAAAAGGGATTAATGAAATATCAAATTTATTGAATACATATTTCTTCTAAATATCATAGCAACATTAGATCCAATTTAAAAACTCGATTCGAAACTGCAATGTTTCATGATTTGCAATAATTTACCAATTTATGTTTTATTAATGCAAAATACTGATAGTCATGATGACTCGGTATATAATAAGTACCTAAATTAATTGTCATTGTCAGTGATGGCAGGCAGGCAGGCTACAGACTTTGAACCGTACTTATCATGCGGAATTTAAATTAAAGGTGGAAGAAAAAGGAAAATTGAGTATGGAACTGGTAGTTTGCCACACGGCAAACTAATCTTACCCCTAGTCTACATACAATTTGAAGACATTTTTTTTGTATTTCTATGTCCGTAATAGAGATTTCTTTCTGATTTTGGGATTAAACAGGGGTATTAATTTCAAAAAAAAAAAAAAAAAGATAAAAGTGACATTCTAACCTTCTGATGCCATTTTTTGGAGTTCGTAATGCATTTTAAGGAAGGTATTAGCTGGCCAACATTAAATTTGATTTTACTTTACTTTCTGTTATATTCAATTTCCATATGGGAAGGTCTGAACACTATGTATGAGATCGATCTATATAAGGTCGAAAAGTAAGTCCATATGATAACTAAGTTTGCGGACAAAGACATAATTGTGACTTTAAATTCGAAAAAAAGCTAAATTGGAATAGTGCAAAAACTACCTTTTTTATACCCCCCACCATTGTATAGACGGTATATTGAGTTTGTCATTTCGTTTGTAACACCCCAAAATATATATTTTAGACCCCACAGAGTATATATGAATTCTTGATCAGCATGTCCGTCCGTTTAGCGATGTCCGTCCGTCTGTGGAAATCACTCTAGTTTCCGAACGGAATGAAGTAGATTGATAAAAATTTACTCAAATGCATATTATGTCTGCAGCATTTTTGGTATTGAAAATGGACAATGTAGGTCCAGGCCTTCATATAGCCCCCATATAATGGTACCTCCCTATTTTCGGTATTTTGGTGGTTTAAGCGACATTTTTCACCGGAAATGTTTCGAATTTGGTATTTGAAGTTGGTTATGGATATTATAGTCTAAGACAGAAAATTGTCTGTGCAGGTCCACGTATTCGTATAGCCCCCATGTAACGGTACCTCCCGATATTCGGTATTTTGGTGGTTTAAGCGAAATTTTTCACCGGAAATGTTTCGAATTTGGTATTTGAAGTTCGTTATTGGATATTACAGCCTATGACAGAAAATTGTCTGTGCAGGTCCACGTCTTCGTATAGCCCCCATATAATTGTTCCTTCCTATTGTCTGTATTTTGGTGGTTTAAACTACATTTTTCACCGGAAATGTTTCAAATTTTGTATTTGAAGCTCGGAATGGATACTACAGCCTATGACAGAAAATTGTCTGTGCAGGTCCACGTCTATAGCCCCCATACAAAGGTATCTCCCGATATTCGGTATTTTGATAATTTTAGCGACATTATTCACCGGAACTGTTTCAAATTTGGTATTTGATGTTTGTAATGGATACTACAGCATAAAACAGAAAATTGTTTATGCAGGTCCACGTTTTCGTATAGCCCTCATGTAACGGCACCACCCGATATTCGGTATTTTGATTATTTTAGCGACATTATTTACCGGAATTGTTTCCAATTTGGTATTTGAAGTTCGCATTGGATATTACAGCCTATGACAGAAAATTTTATATGCAGGTTCACGTCTTCGTATAGCCCCCATATAATGGTACCTCTCTATTTTCGGTATTTTGGTGATTTATGCGACATTTTTCACCGGAAATGTTTCAAATTTGGTATTTGAAGTTCGTAATGGATGCTACAGCCTACTACCACGTCTTTGTATAGCTTCCATATATTGTACATGCACCTTTTACAAAATGTTGATAAAGTAAAATTGATAAAGTAAATTTCTCTCTCGAAAGAGGTTTTTCTTTTTGATTACAAATATATAAAAATATATCGTTTATAACCAAAATATACCAGTAAAACACTGAAATATAGAATTTCTGAAAAATATTTTAATATTTCCTTCCCTTTTAATGGATTCAACGCAGAAAAACATCTGAAAAAAAAGAAGACTAAGGCCTAAATTCACCGGCAATGTGACCTTATTTAATAGGCCTTGTTTGCTAGTAAATATTACCGGAAAAGTACCCAGACAATATATGTTTATTCAAAAAGAGGCTTTCTTTTTTTGAAAATTACACATATTTTCAAAGTTAGTCCAAGTCTACAATAACTCAGATATTTCGTTATTCCAAGATAGACCTGCTGAATCTCTGGATTGGGATTTAAAGATTATTAAAAAAGCGTTTTTTATCACAAATCGTATCCTTTATCAAAAGGAAAATCAAATGCACTTCAACGCACGAATGATTCACTCATGGCTTAGTTTTTTTTTTTTTTGCTTTCTTCAAAATTTGTCGCTTTTTTCTTTTGCATATTTGGTATTTCCAAAACAAACGTGAGAAAATACATAAATTAATTCCAATAGTCTGCACTTTAAACATGGTTTTGGTTTTGGCAAATTACTTCCGAATTCGTCAGATATTCAAAACAAAAGTGTTGGCTGCTCAAAGTCTCAGCAGATGGGGAGGGGGGGAGTAGGTTTGTTGGTAATAGGTGCAAACATAAACGAATGGATGAAAATGATGATGGTGATGCTCTGTTGCTGTCTGATTTTGTTATTTTAATAGCTGGCGTTGTTGTTGTTGTTCGTGTCGTTGGACATGCAAAATACAAAGCAAAACATGGAAATGAAGATATGACAACAGAAAAATCAACAACTAAATTAAAATAATATTTCGTCTACGAAAAGGAAAAGAAAACAAAACGGTATATCTAATGGCCAATGCTGGAGATTATCAAGTTGCTGATGGTGATGATGACGATGATGATGATGATGGGCTAGCATGCCAACTTATCTGCGTGCCATCATACAGCCGTTTGTCTGTCCACATGGGCGAGAGCAAGGTCAAGCATAGCTTAGCACAGAACAGAACAGCACGGCCAGCTTGGATCGCAACACCCAACGAAACGCTTAATCAATTAACATGTGAGTGAGTATTACAAATGTATCTACAGATAAATACTTTTTGCATGCAAACACGAATTGAATTCGATTTGTTTGGATTAATGGATTTTGCCAATCATGATCATACGTTTCTCAATCTCTCGCTCTCCCTCTCTCTCTCCACTTGAATTGGAAAAGAACTTGAGGAATTCTCAAAAATACAAAATGTTATTCAATTTGCATTCATTAAAACGGCAAGTGATATAATATCTTGAATAAAATTCTTTTGTTGGCTGGGCGGCCACCAACAAGTGCTTGGTCAGAATGCGTTTATGCGATATGCAGACCCTCATGGCAAGCCAAAGAAGAAGAAAGAAAAAAAAAACGATCAACTTTATTAAAATTTTCTAAAATTTGATTCTCTATTTTTCTGTTTCATCTATTTCCATAAAACTTGCAATAATTTTGACTTGAAATTTACTAGCGAACCTTGATTGGGACGGACTTACTTACTTCCGTTTTAGAACACAGAACAACGATGACGAAGAACGAATGCGTTTTATTTATTGGTTGGAAAAAGACCACGAAAAGATAAAATAGATTAAGCCAACTTAAATGACTCCTTTTGCGAAACATAAACATTCGATGGTAATCTACCTACCTACCTAACCCTAGCATTCGAAACAAAAAACAATAAAATCGAAAATTTATTATTTATTGTTATTAATGATCTTCAGTATTTTGGGCAGAAATTTGCCACATGCAAGCATACGTTTTGTTTAAATCGTTTTGCGTATTTCAACTAAACCACACGAAATGATTAATTGTGTGGTGGATGGAAGATGCAAAACTTCCAAACTTCGTAATAGAAAAAAAAAATCGATCCAAGAAACAGACAGCAGAACTGCATTCATTTTCATGGGGTGTTTGTTTGTATGGCGGAACAATTTGTTATAAGACATCAAAATTAAAAAAAATAAAAATAACTTTAATTTTGCCAATAATTGATCGATGTGGATGACTGCATTTCGGAATCATCTATCAAAGTTTTTGCTTCTCCATTAAATTTTAGATTAATTATATTCTTAATTGTATATAATGTATTTAATTGTTATAATTTTTTCCCATATGCTTATAAAACCTTTTGCACGCTAATGATATGTAAGAGGTTGTGTGGGGGAAAAACTTTAAGGCATTCGATTAAAAAATGTCAGATGAAAATAAGGAAATTACGTTTGATTTTACTTCTATAGCACATAACGTATATTGCGATGTTTAAAACGGACATTGAAGAAAATATTTAAGAAAACTTGGTGCCTTTTTTTTTGTAAAATTTAAAAGAAAATAACTCGGGGTAGATATAAGCCTTTTCCGAATCGTTTAAGTCATCGACATGGAAAAATTAAGAAGTTAAAGTCCTTAATAGCATGTTTCCATTGGAAACCGAACAACGTTGTTCGCTCTCAGAATTAGGTACACGAATTAACCCGTTCATACGGCACGATTCGTAATTCATAGTAAAATAATTCCTTTTTTCAAAATTTTGTTTGTTGATTTTAATGGGAATTTATACTAAAATACATTAAATTCTCATTAATATGGATAGAAGAAATGATTATTTTTCTCCCAAAGATTTATTAAAACATTAATTTTATAATTTTCATTCACGTTTCCAACTTTTTGTGTAAATGTTGACATTTTGAACATATTTTTGTATTTTTCAATTTTTAAATTCTGCTGGAGAGACACTTGTCAAACATTTTTTCTGCCGATACAAACATTTTGAAAATATTGCCTCTTTTGTTTCCTGTTTTCTGTGGTAATTTCAACTCGTGGACAAAATGCGTACCTCGGATGAGAGAGAAAACAAAATTTACTTTCGTTTGAATGTACATACGCTATTCTACATTGTAGTTTTCATTCATAAATTTCAGTCTTCCCAAAATTTTTCAAAATTTCATTAAATTTTTCTATTTTCAATTTTTAAATGTCATAATTAATTTTTTCGATAAATGCTCTCATTTGTTAGGGATGGGACATATTTTTTCGTTGTTCTGAGAGTGATTTGATTTGAACAATGTACAAATATGAGTGTTCGCTCAGGAAATTTTGTGTGAAGAATTAAGTAGTTTTTTCATAGTTAAGGGTCAAACAACGAATAGAGAGCGAATCAAGTGCAGTGGAAACGCCACATTAGTGGAGAGTAATATGAACAATATATGTTCTCTTCTCCTTATGATTTTCTCTCTCACTCTCTCGCGGCATATAAGGGAATATAATATACTATATCCACTATATTTATTTAACATTTGGTATAAAAGGTTTTTATTTTAAATAAACCGTTGGTAGTGGCAAGAACAGAGCGATCGCAAAATTGTAAAAAAATTAGAAAAATATATAACACAAGAACAGCAGCTTTACTTGCAAATAAATAAATCATCGGTAACAGAAAATTAGAAAAAAAAATCTGAATTCGGTTATAACAAACAACAACAAAACACGTAATGCACACATAGAGGGGCGTTCGTTGAAAAAAAAAAGAAAAGAATTACACCGAGAGTTAATGGATATTGAAACAACACACAAGCATAACAAAGCTAAATAACAATTGGAAAGAAAAAGATTTCGTAATTTCTTAAAAGAAACCCGAAGCGATTTTCAAAGGAAACCTCAAACCAAAAAAATTACAAAAAAGTGAAAGTGAAAAAATTTACAAGCAACATTAACTAAGGGACGCTTTAAAAAAAATAAAGGAAAGATTAGACTGACCTCAAAACAGGTGCTTACCAAAAAGAAAAAAAAAATCATAAATTTTATAACCAAAAGGCCAAGAAGCTCACAAAAAATACAAGCAAAATGAGTGGATACACAGATATAACCAAATTGGATACACGGTAAGTTGAACAGACAGCAGTCGTAACCAGCAGTAGCAGCAGCAGACAAGGGCGGGGTATTCTTCAATGAAGAGACAAGTGTGAGAGACGTTAGAGGAAAAAAATGAAATTTTTCAATGATTATGTCAAAAAGTTGGAAATTTAATATTCCCAAAAAGTTTGATCGAAAATTTAACGAATTTTTGATATTCCATTTCTATGGCCTTATGAAGATTCAAAACTGGAATGGCTTTATTAGTGTGTGTGTCTGTTAAATTTTTATTAACAAAATTATTGTAAAACCAATAGCCTAACTCACTGCCACACATTTAAGCGCTGTTTAAAAAAGCTAAACACAGTAACCTAGCTTTGGCCCCCTCACCCAGACTGGCTAAGCTACTACTACACCTGTCCATTTGACACCAACACACACACGGACACATGCCAAAGCATTTTCCCCCAAAGCCCCCAATAGCATTTATTATGTTGTCCGGCAATTATCATAATTTAAAGTTTAACAGAAATGCTCCAAACCTATCTTCTCAATTCCATTTTTTTTGTTCAAATTAATGAAGGTACCACCTATGGTTCCCCACACTTACCCTACCCAACCCTCCCTTCCCATTTCTATGGCCCACCATGAAATCACCGTCATCTGTTCGATACAAATTTTTGTTGTTGCTGTTGTATTCACCACTAGAGAAAATATCGTACGATACGGAGCGGGGCGAAAAGTGTATTGGAAACACATTCACACAGACACGAATCTAGCAAATACACCAAGCAGCTGACGTTGTCGGCAAGTTAACTGGCTTTAGCTCGAAGAGTAGTGGAAGTAGACGTAGCAGATATGGCTAGCTAAGCATTGATATGACACAATCATCATCATCATCTTTACAATTTGCCACAGAGGAGCGAGAAGCAGGCACTCAATTCTCACACTTGATTGATAATAGCGGACTATTGTTAGATGCCCTCTGATTATGGAATTCATGTAAAGTCTAGGCACTGATTCATAGATTCCATTACGACGACAGTCACAACGTCACCACAACTTTCATTGCCCTTTTCTCTAACAACTAAAAGTGAAATGTGGGCATTCCTGTTTGCATTGAGCAATTTTTTCTAGACTTGGGGGGAATAATGTATAGCTAGAACCCACCTTTTGTTTGTTTAAACATTATATATAATTTATTTTTGCCATTTGTCGGCTATTTTCATTTGCAAAATCATCATCATTAAACTCACGCCACCCGCATTTGGTTGTATTGAAATGTTTGCTGAACACGGACGGGATGATGACGACTACAACCACGAGCCGGGGCCGCTTGGTTTGTTGAATGACTGGTAATGATGGCATGGCTGGCGGTACAGTAGAGGCCAAGGGAATATGTGGCTGTATCGAAAGACAAAACCACTTCAACTTTTATATGTAGATTCCAATATTTCTTTTTTCTTGTTTGGGATGAGTTGTTCTTTTTAGAATCTAGGTAATGTTTATTCTGTGAATAATGATGATGTGCTGATTTGAAATGAATTTATGACATGGAATTTTATGTTCCCATTATAAAAATTGTTTTGTAAACGAGAAAAGAATTTCAATAATTTCGGGGATTTTTGGATTATAACATCATGATTAGGATTCCTCAACAATAATTCGAGATTCCTTAACGCAAAACCTCAAACTAATAACAAATTTGAGTTCTTTGGTGTTTGTGAAGGTATTTTCAAAATCCAATGGAATTTGAAAGAATACAAATCTCAGTGGAACATCATTCCCACCTGTAGCTACTATAGATGTTTATAATGCACACACATATTTTGAATGTAACTTTTAAGAATCAAGTATGTGATTTGAAAAATATTAAAAAAATATATAAAAAATTACATCAAATACACAAATAGAATTAATCCTAATCATCCTAGTAACCTAAACCCAAAAATGAAGAAAGCAAATATTTAAGGATGGAGATTAATGCTCTAAATTTGTTTAAAGAAAGCTTAATTCAAATTGCAAAGATAAAAAAATCGAAAAGGTGTAGCAAAAATGTTGGCTTTTATATTTTTATTACCACAGTTTACTTTTATGATCCATCTAGAGTGATTGTGATTTCCAGAATATTATCAGTCATAAATATGTACCCATGTAGGTCCGTATCTATTTGTTATTGATGTGTCATACTTTACAAGTACTTGTCCTTTTTTTGATTTTGTAAAACCCCACTACAAAATTCCCTATTAACTGATTAGAAATGGGTAAACAATTCTTATTGATTTGGTAATTAGTTAGGTACCACCACCTATTACTCATAAAAATCGATAAGAAATTCACAATTATGTCAATGTCATTATCAGCGAAATGCTAAAACTGCAAAGTTGAGGTGTGAGACTGTCAAAGAAGAGGTGACAATATTTTTTGTTGTTTTCGCTGAAAAAACGCTAAGATATTTTACATTTCAGTGCGTTAAAAACATTGAATTAGTCATATTATTGACGTCGATGACAGTCACATAATAATAATATGCACAAAGACAGATTAAAAAGATAATGCCAATGATCCAATGAACATCCTTCATATTTTAATAGGAAAAATACCCATGCATCATGGTAAATAATATTTGTGCAAAACTATTTGCAAAATATTTACACAAATACCTGCAAAAAAAAAAAAAAAAATAACTGGCTACTGAAAAATAATAACAAGCAACGACCCCCATGGTGTTGATAATTTTTATTATTTTTTAATTTGATTTAGCCCATAGATTGATTGTCCGTCTGCTGGACATATTTAAATATAAACAACAAATGAAAACGTAATGTTTTGTTTACATTCTCATCACACTCTGCCGCTCCTTTCTTCACACGCTCATTTTTAGCAGGCATTGAAATTGTTCGTTGGGCACCATTATAAATAAACAGAAACAACCTTCATCTCATCTGTTTTTTTACTCTCTTCTACAAAATGGATGGTCGGTGTCTGTTGTGTGAGAGCAAGAGAGTTGGGGTTATAGAAAAGATGTTTGTTATTGTTTATGTTTCACAATCAATTTAAACAAGACAGCACGAAATCATACGATACGTTTACGTTTTGTTGTGGGGATGAGTGAGGATGATGATGATGATAATTACGTTTGTCGTTGTTGTTATTGCTCATGATTGTGTTTGGTACTACTGTACGTAGCCATTCAAATGACGTATGTCAAATAAAGTCTGTATTGTCCGTCCATAATAATTTTTTTGTAATGGTGGTGGCATGGTCTGATGTTGAAAGAAATCAGGTCAACCACCACCCAAAAGCAAAAACAAAAATGAAACCACCCCATTTTTGTTGCACCGTTTTGTTTTTGCTTTTTTTTTTGGCAAATATGCCACCTAATGTTTGCTTGTGTGGTGCTGGGCTGTACACCGTCGTTGTTGTTGTGTGGTGAGTCTCCTTGCCTCGTGCCACATAAAGCCACCTTAAAATCAGCCGATTTTCATGTTGTATTCCTGTGCCGGATAGCGCATGTGCCATTTGAAACAGCTGCCCAATTTCAAATACTTACCTTCCCCTCATATGTTATTTAAATAATATCGCTAGATATGGCAACTCTGTGGGGTATTTTTGACGTTTTGCAAGAAAGCGATTACCGGTTTTTCTTCCACACAAATGGCACAGTAAACTTTTGTTTTTAACTACGGTCTAACGAAGTTATGATGGAGTATTTTGACAATTTGGACTTGTGCGGAAACTAGGCTAAGCTCTCCTCGCCTTCATGAATTCAAGACGTACTTGGCAGTAAGAGAATTCATAAAGTAATAACAATTTTGTTGTAGAGAAAGAAAAGAGAAAGAAAATTCATATTAAATTACGGAAGAACTCAAAGTTGTAAAAGTAAAATGTTTAATAATACCTTTTTTTGTTTAAATTAACCTAATTATTTAATATTTGCAGACCTTTATGAAAATGGAAAGCAATGTAGAACTTATTAAGCGAAGACACTTTCATAAATATTTCCTTTAGGAATTCCAGGAAGTTGTTCAATTCTACCGTTTTACTTTAACTATTCCATGTTCGTTTAGTCTAGTGTAACTCCGTTTGACTGTATTGTATAATACCATATCTAATTTGCGTTATTTCTCAAAAACAAAAAAAATCATTTCATCAAGTTGTGGTCAAAACCATAACATTTGTATCTGCTCCCATTTTCTATCTAATTCAAGCTTTTAAAAATTAATCGCAAAAAAAAAGAGTAAAACAAAACATTGCAAAATGAGGCAATCACTATCATCATCCTCAGCCGCCCCAGTAGCTGACGTCTTATGGTCTGCATCTGTGTTTTATTTCTTTCTTCCACGGGGTTTTACGTCGTTAATATTATGGGGCGACATTAATGATGATGATGCCAAAAACCGAAAAATGTGGCGTGTTTTTCATGCGAGATTATCACATCTGTGACATGATACGCCACACGGTGGGAAAAGGAACATCCACACAATGGCGGTCATAATGAATCAATGAATGAACAAACCAATGAATAGCTCGGGAACAAGCCATTGTCAGCGAGAGGGATAAAAGACAGACAATCAACTAAATTGCTTTGTGGTTTTATTTTCAGAATGCACTCACTTTCTAGATCCGTTTGGAATTTTAGAGTCTCTGTTTTTTTTTTTTTTGGATTTGCACTTAGACGACCGGTTCTAATTGATTTAAAGTGACTTAGATTAAGATGCTTTCAAACGTGGATGATGATGATGAAAGTTTGCATCCACAATTCGTAGTAATTGCTGCATAGCATTTGTTGTTGGCTTTTGTTAAAACGCAATTAAATAAATTGTCTACTATTGTATGAAGAAAACTAAAAATAGTGTCTAATGCAATTTGAATTTTCCTTTCTATCAAACCCCCACCCCATATCTGCCTTCTATGTCCAAGTCAATTGGATGTTATGTGTCTGAAGAAAGTTCTGGGATTTTGTGATGAAATGAATGTGAGAATTATAATTTATTTACTGCTGCTTGGGTTTGCATAATGAAATTGA